AAGAGAATTCATGGGAATTCATAGAGGGCAGTCGGTTCCAGAAGATCTGAAAGAGTCTGAGAGCTGCTGACAATGAAGAGTCAGAGTTGCCGAGAATCCAGAGACGTTTTGGGATTATAATTCTGTTTTGAACTAACCACGCACGACTCTCCAAGGATTTTAGCTGTTCTCAACGGAGACGCTGATATCAGTCTGAAGGATTCTTACTGAGGTGATCTATCGTCAACAAGGTAACGGTTTCTTCTTCGACTAAAGTGTACCTGGGACAAGCTGAGATACCTGATGGGAGCGTGCAATTTCTGGTCAAACAGATTAAATTCCCTCACATATTCCTCTGTAAGATAAATCTCCGTTTCATCTTAAACTCTTCTCTCTCTCACAAAACTAGTACAGATATTTTAGAAATATCTGAAGCAAAGTCCTCAAATCACCGCCGAGTGATTTGAAGTTCATTATTTGTGAAACTGTCTGTTATTATTTTCATATTTTGCCAAATTAATGTAAATGTTTGATGTTAAACTTTGATTCTGAAAATAAATGACTCCATTCATTTGATGGGTCAAAGATAATAACGTCTCTCGTTCGCATTTCTGTTAAAATTCAATGCACGACATTACAGTCAGAAAAATGAAGAACTCGTGAAAAGTATGCATAAATATATACCACATATATTTGTACTACAACTAGTGACACGTACCCACGTGACTCACTACAACAATGTAGGTCTATTTGAGTCCTATCTATATTTAAAAATTAACCGTGTGAATATCCCACTTTCAAATATTAAAACACAGTTAAAATAATAAATACATTTTAAAAGGAGTGCAGTATGGTGGTTATTTGACTTTAACTTATTTCATTAAAGCAGATCATTTTATTTACTTTAATTTTTATTCTGTTTTCAACAAAAACAAACCTTGACTTATAATTTTATTAGCAGCTTTTTAACGTCTTCTTTCTGTAACAGCAGCGTGCAGATCTTTGTCTCCCCTCAGCAGCTTGACTCAGAATTATTATCAACATTTCCTTTTCTGAATAATGTCCAACAGACTTCACCGTCAGTGGAAAACAGAGTGATAAGGCGACTCACACACAAACTGATCAGTTTGTTTTGCTTTTTCTAGTTTTAGTACCAGTTTGTCACAGCTGGGAATTTTTCACATATTGCAGAACTGGTCAGGAAAATTCCTTCATATTTTGTTGTAACTATCATTTTTAATGTGAAGTTATTTTGGGTCGAAGCTTCAGAGTGTCACTGCTGAAGAAGTCACAAGTTGCAGATTCCTGCTTCATCCCTTAAAATACACTTGTCAATTATTGTTTAGCACGACCATTAAAAACATGCTGGAAACTAAGCAGAGATCCCAGTATCCAACACATCCATCCTGTGCAGTACTGGATGAACGGTTGTTGTCTGTGACAAACGATACAAAACTGAATTCACTTGATGTTTTCCTCTGTCTGCCTCCCTCTTCCTCATGTTCATCAACTTGAGGACAAATGCAAAACTGCAAATGAGCTCCGGGAAAAATCTCAATAATTGTCCGTCTTCACGGGCTTCATGTCAGGAGTTGGGCTGAGCCGTCTACAAATGCTCTGCGTGAGTCAACTCCAGAACAGGGTCAGTGAACGCAGCACCTAACGAAGGCCTGGAGTTTCTCCATGAAATGCTGCCTTCAAGACATCTTACGCAGAGACAAGAGAAAGTTGTAGCAGTTTTGATCACCTTGAATGTTTGCAAAGTCTCAGCTCATGTGACTGATCCTCAGCTACTACCACAACAAATGTTAGCTGGAAAACCCGAGTTATAGACTTTTATTTGTGTCACTTGGCTGTTGTGACTCCAAAATGTGTTTAATCCTTTACTTTCTGAAAGATTATTTAAAACCTGTTTGATGGAACATGAGATATTTTGCTAACAGACAGTTGACTCATTCATTCATTCAACCATTATTAGATTATTATTATTATTACAAATTGAAATTAAATTATTATTTGATTAGATATCTATTATTCTATTGACTCCAAATACTTATTGGTGAAAATTTAAGAAAACTTTCTAGAATCTGTAAACGCAAAAAGTTTGTGTTGGGCCTCAGTCTCAGCTAGTAGTTCACTAAAACACAGGTCAGTATCAGTAGTTCATTAAAAACACAGGTCAGTATCAGTAGTTCACTAAAACACAGGTCAGTATC